ACGAAGTGCGGAACCTCATCCGCAAGGAGGCTCGTATTCTAATGTTTGGATTGGGGCCCTTACAGGTAAGTAAGATTGAATGTTGTTTGAACATTTTGTTGTGGCTCATGTTCTGATTACAGCGCCTGGTAAATTTATTCAATAAAGAATTTGAGTTTACTCCGAAGGAAATCAAACAAATAATCTTATCCGATCCAAGAGTGTTCATGATGGGTGAGTTTGAGGATGAAGTGTTCCACTTTAGATTTTGAATTTTTAGATGCGAAATTTGTCACTGCCAATTATAATTACGTTCATAAAGTCATGCGTCTACCTAATTCTGTGATTGTCAAGCATCCGTTCATTCTTCGTTGTTCGCACAGCAGCATTCGAAATAGGTATTTTTGCACGTTATTGATTGCTCTGTGATTATTCATTCTTGTTTAGGCACGAGTTTCTCAAAAAGCTTGGAAGAGCGATTTATGAAGGTGCCATTGCTGATCAAAATGCTACTGATGCTCAGGATGAAAATCAAGTCCAAGTATGTTTTTCTATAACCCTCAAAAAGCTCTACCTAGTTTTTGATACGTTTAGCCTGTGTCGCTGGACGCCTTTCTTGATCCAAGCGATGCAGTCTTTGCGAGAAGAGCTGCCAACACTTACTTGGTAGTTTACAACAACTTCCTTCGTAACCATTAGTAATGCTTCCATCTCATTCCTCAAGGTTTTCTCTTATTTGAATTGAAATTAGCTTTATGGCAGAGCTTTCAAGCTTGCGAGAAGTGCCTTTTTTGAAGCTGCTTGTAATCTTATTGAAAGATTCCTTGGAATCTTGTGCAGAGTAGATTCCGATTAGGAGTTTAGGCTATTCTTTACTAGTCGATGCATCTCTCATAGTATTTGATAATTGTTGTTACTTGTACAGGTTGTTCATAGCTGTTGTTGAGATATGCGTTGTTTTTTTGATGAAAGTGAAATACAATTTGTTTACATCACTGCTGTCAAAGATATCAAAACTGCATTGAATATCTGTGGGTAGCCTAGAGCATAAGCGCAACTATAAATCCCTGCCTTTTTTTTTATGATGAACACGTAACATTGAAAATCATATTTTCGTTTTTTGGATTAGCTATGCACATCG